AAAATCTCAAATCGGGAAAAAATTGGAAAAAAAATTGTCAATGGAATCGATTTTTAAAATAATAGTACATTCTATTGACAAACTTTGTAAGTATCTTTAAACATTTACTGTAGAGATTTTTTTCAATTTGTTATTCTTCTTTTGTCAATTTTTTTCCATTTGTATTATCATATTTAATTCAGTGGATTTTTTGTAAACAAAATAAAGAATAATTTTTCACTATATACAAATTTTCACCAAATTTTTTCACTTTCAACTCCAGGGCCGACATCGTGGTTCAGCCGGAAGATGCGAACACATTAAAACAAACAAAAATGATCGAAAATGCCTAATGGGGCTCATTTCAAAGTGTGGACCTACTTCTTTCATGTGACAATAATCCGTCCAATGAGAGCTCAAAATGCAAAATTCTTTGAGAGTACAATCAGTAAAATACCAAATATAAAGGGTGCAAAATAGTAGAGCGAATGGGACTTTTAGTAAATCGCTTTTGCAGGTCATGATATCGATCATAACTCACGGATAAGGGTACTACCCGATTTCATATTTATATAACCATCGTATGATTTAAGCTATTTTTGGGGTCTTGACCACTTTTTCATTTTTTGGCCCTTTTTTGGCATCTTTGTTTCTAAGGGGGTAGAGAACCTCTTCGCATAAAATTTGAAATTTTCAGAGTAGGACCACATTTATCAATTGAGCCAAATCAATTGAAAAAAAATAAAAAACTATTTTTACTTATTTAAATCACGCGAAATTTTTTTTCAGTTTGCCATGCTATGTTGTTCTGCTATATTTTTGATTTGTCATCTTGGATTATAAGGGTAGAAGAAAGTTTTCAATGTAGGTCGATGTTTCGGAGTAGTGCCTATATAAAGGTACCTCCTGATTTTACCATATTTCAAAGGATGTGGCTAAAAATGTAAATTTGGGGGTTAAAATCTTACACAAAAATTTCAACATATCTACAAATTTTAGAATTTGTCCGTGTGGAAAACAGACCGACATGATTAGGGGAACTTATGAGGACTCAATTATGAAGTGTACAAAATACAGTAAATTCCAAATTACTGCTCATTTGACTGGAAAATTTTGCTACGATTTTTACTATACTAAAAATTAATTTGTTCCCTTACATGGGGATAAGATTGATATATACTTTTTAATAGATTTGTATAGCACATGCACACATTTGAAGCCCACGGTTTAAATAATAAAGACCACGGCATAAATATGGGTACAGATATTTTAAAACACTTTTAATCGACCAGTACGTGATCACTTATATCAGTCATATCTGTGAATAACTATGCTTTGACAAATATACATAATAGACAAAAACTACGGGCCGGCAACGCGGACCGGGCCAGCTAGTAAATAATAAATACATAAAAAATATTTTTTATATTCTAGAAATATCAAAGCGTCATAGGATATTCGATTGAAATTTATTTAAATTTTATTGCAGATGATATGAAAAACTTAGGTCGCTTGAATTTGAATTTTGGAATAGAATTAAATCAAGATCCAAAAACTAAAGATATTACCAAGTCTCTGAAGTATGTACATGTCATCCTTAAAAGTTCAATATGGTCGGTTACAATGACTTCTATTACAGAATAAATGGGAGTTCCCATTCACAAAGGGAATACGAATTCCCATTCACAAAATAAAATTTCGTGGAAATTATTACTTACTATTATTACTATTACCAAATTATGGGAACAAATAAAATCAGCTGACATTTTCGAACAAATAATTATATTTGCTGATAACTGTGAAATTGTTTTCGTATGTCATTTCAGACATTTTTCATATTTTCAAAAAATCCCATGCAATTTCAAAGAGAATAAATGTTACCAAATGTGAAATTTCATTCCTATATCGTTTCATTCGAACATTGCCATTTGGGGAAAGCAAAATTCATAATAACAACAATGGGAAGTGGGAACCAAATGTATGGGAAATTATTTTAATAATAGGTGTGAATCCCATAACTTCTCCACTGTATCGTAAATTTATTTTTGAGCATTAGTCCAAAGACCAGGGAAGAGAAATCGGAAGAAGATATCAAAATATGGTTGGTTTAATGTAGCCACACTTAAATTAGTATTAGTTAATATGGCTTTAGTTAAGTTTATCATGTGTAGGTCTTTTTAACCTGATTACGGCAATATTTTCAATCTGAGCCTTATGACCGCGACGGCCGCCTCGTACCGTATCTGAATATCTATTGGGTGTACATATAGAATTGTCTCTAAAGCAATAGTTACTGTGTCTTTCTGTAATATTTTGGTATTACTTTTTTATCCATTGCTGTCTACCAGACTACTGATGCGTATGTTAGAAGATTCAAGCTTTTGAATATCCAGTGTGTCCCTGAGAGCCCGATGAACCAGAAAATTGTCTAGGGATTGGATGAGTGTAACCGTGGTGGGATTATTGAAAGCACCTTTGATATCAATGCATACTGCTAGTGTATACATCTTTATATCGAAAGTGCTCTCGAATTGAGTTAAGCCTAGAAAAATAATTCATTCTCTTAAAACTCTTCTTAAATCTGAAGACAAAAAGACTACATATTCTTATAAAAAAGAAATAACAATAATCTGAAGTAGGTCAAAAACTTATCAATGCATTAAAAAAATATGTAACAGATTTTTAAAAAATCATGACTATGGTGTTTCTCCTTTAAATCTCTCTCATTGTCTTAAATTGGATCATCAGTTAAAGTTAAAGATGAGGAATGTAACCTCACCGCTGATATTTAAAGAGACTGGATTATTTTTATATTTAAGAATAGGATAAAACCGCAAGAGAAAGTGGTTTAAGAAGAACTACAAAAAGAAAAAAAACAAACAATCATTGATCTAGATCAAGTACATTCAACCCAAAATATTATTCTGTTGACTATTCACAATTTTTTAAATTAAACAAAAACGGCAAAAAATGCACGAGATTTTTGTTGATTATGAAGAATGACATTCCATACTAAAATACAAAATTAAAATTTTAAGAATTTCTCGATATTATTTTTTTAAAACTCCATACACTTTTCGGATATGGCGAAAATATGGTCATATTTTGAATTAATTTTTAAAATATTTTTATATTATTATTTTTAAAACTTTTTTATTCTAAAATACTGATAACTACCTGTATTCGATGTTTCAATTTTCAAATTATCACTTTTAATGAGTAAAAAACTAAATTATTGCACTTCAAAAAACCAAAGATAATTTTTTTCTTCTTCTTGCGAAAAAGTGAAATATTCCTCAATTTTGCCACTGTAAAATTAGAAAACTAAACAACGTATGACTTTGAAATTTTCGGTACTGAAGTAGAATTTAGTGTACTATAATAGTTTAAAAACATTTATTACAAAAGACAAGTTTTATATTTTCAATTAATGTCCGCGTTTTTAGTTTTTACCACTCTGTGCGTTAGGGGTATACCGGAACTTTAGGCACGCATTGTCATCTATGCTTAGCCATTCAATGTTTTCTTGCCCTAGCCTTTCTTTTACAAGTCTCCATTCAGTCAATCTTGGATTTGTTCCGGAAACGTATTGGGTTCGGCGGCGGCCGTGTTAGTTCAAACCTTATATACCGACGATCCGAAAAAGAGTGATCATCCGAAAACCTCCAATTCTGAATCTCGTTTATAAGATTTCCCCAACAAAAAGTAATGTCTAAAACCTCCTTCCTAACCACCTACATATGTCCAGTCTCCACATGAACAGCGACCCTAATGCAGATTTCAAGCACTATATGTTTAAAAACGAATTGTACCAAATATGGTACTATTTAGTACTTTTCGTGTAATTGTAGTACACATTTCCAAAACACCACCCAATATAAAATTTTCAAATTCCAGCTTAATCTGTTCACCCTAAACCAAGCGGTACCAGTACACATTTCCAAAACTTCCCTAATATATTTAACTTATTTTCCAACCTTGATTCTCTTGTCGAATTTCAAGTTTTTAGCTCTATCCGTTTTAGTACCCTTTTAGTACGAAATACCAAAAACTCGGCCTTATCGAGTCTACGCACCAAGAATAACCCTCGTGCAAAATTTCAAGTTTTACTATTCTCATAAAATACTTATGTGTTGTACCAGAAATCACTTCAATGCAGTAGCAAATACCGAAAATAGCATAGAAAAGGCAATATTTCTTTTCACAAAGAAACGCAAGTAAAGATCAGTTGATTACAATTCTCGGAGCATATTTATAACTTTGGGGTATAACGCATCAATATCCACAGAAAAATCAAAATTCCAAATTGAAAACAAATAAATAAAAAACTATTAACCCGTATAATAATCCAGTGCTACAAGAACACCACTATCACCTCATTGTTCTCTAATCAGGTCGGTTAGTTTTACCAAAAAGGAAAGTAGTGCTGAGTCCACATCCAAATCTGTATTGATAATTTTAGAAAAATATATGATCATCTATACATGATTGAAAATGCAGCCGTATCAGGTATTCGCAACTTTAGAAAGCGCTGTTAGGAAACTACTTAGGTCTCATGTTTTCAATTGTGTTGATTTCTTTAGCTTTGGGAATAGGAATAATTTTCCTTTTCTTTTGGGATTGCTATATCAAATAAGTTTTAATTTTAAACCCCCTTCTGTGTTTCCGGCTAAATGAAGTGTTAATCGACCATCGCGGCTTTATATCCAGGACATTCTTTTTCAGTTTTTTGTCAAGTAAGTTTTCTATGATATCCGTTTCCAAAAAGACCTGTTTTAATTATGTCTTCCAGCTCAATCATAAATTAAAAAATAGGGCTCAAAGACCCATATCTCTGAATTGCAGAAAGAGAATACCCCACATTTTAGCATTTTAGGAATCACATCGAAAATCAAAGAGTTTTTACTAAACTACAGTTGTTAAGTTTTTATTTTCTTGAAAGTAAAATTCGCAACAATTTCTTATTTACACTTTCAAAATTTTGTTCACAATTATATTGGAATTCTGTTCAAATGACTTACCTAAAATCCTTTCCACTTTTGGATCGCCCCACAATACGTTTTATGCTATCATTTAATACAACTAACGTACTCCTTGCATCGTCTAAATCTCGTTGTAATTCATAACTGAGATTGTAATTAGTATCCATATTTGTTTACCATAAAAGCGAATTTTTGTAAAACCTTTTTTAATCAACAAAACTAATATTTAATACGTTCCAATCATACTAAAGTTAGAGTCGGGCGTTAAATTAAGTTGGCATTCAACGCCGTCGTTGCCAGCTACTAAGGGGTCGCTTTGATGATGACTGGTCTACCTAATACCCGACGTATGCCTTTGACGTTTTTCACCACTAAAGTTAACACATGTATTTATATTGAACACTAATTCCATAGTAGAAGAATACAGGTAGATGCATCAACGCTTGGGAACATTGATATATCAAAAATTTTAAAATGTTCCCTTTTTTCTTTCAAAATAAGTAGATTTTTATAAGTATTCTTAGAAGACACCAATCACTTTTTACGATATGTATTTTTCTACAGATTTTATAAATTTGAATAATGCAACATTCAAAATTTTCAATTTCAAAATTGATTTTTTTTTATTTTTCTACCATGACTAGTTCAGCTTAACAGAACTAAAGGTAGGAATACTTAAAGCGCTTATTTGGTTGGCTTAAGTCATCGACTGGCTTCTTCGTATAGGAACAAAGAAGTTTTAGGTTGACTTACTTCGATATTTGTCCTAGGCTCCTTTGTTTATTTCCGAAGAAGCCAGCCGATGACCGATGAATAAGCGCTTTATGTATTCCCACCTTAAGTGTGTAAGTACATAAGAAGCTTAAAGTCATGGCTAGGCATATTTTGTGACATTTCATAAAAGGATTACAGAGCCGCACTAAAATCCTGCCGTCGTTTTCCATTATAATTTGACATTAATATGCGCAGCCATTATTTCAAGCTTTTTATACCCTCTACCTTGGAAAGGAGGGTATATTAACTTTGTCATTCCGTTTGTAACATCCCTAAATATTCGTTTTAGACCCCATAAAGTATATATATTCATAATCAGCATAAAATTCTAAGTCGATTTAACGATGTCCGCCTGTCTGTCTGTCCGTCTGTCTGCCTGTCTGTTGAAATCACGATACAGCCCACATTATTTGACGTAGAGCTCCAAAATTTAGCAGAGCTATTTGCATTGTGTCTAGGATGGTTGGTATTGAAAATGATATATCGGTCCACGTTCTGGTATAGTCCCCATATAACGGTACCTCCCGATATTCGGTATTTTGATGATTTATGCCACATTTTTTCACGGATTTGTCTTAAAATTGGTATTTGTAGGTCATAGCGGGTCCCTGAGCGTGTGGCAAAACATTGCATGTATAGGTCCACGTTGTGGTATAGCCCCCATATAAAGGTACCTCCCGATATTTAATAGTTTAGTTTTTTTTACCACATTTTTTCACCGATTTGTCTAAAAATTGGTATTTGTGGGTCATAATGGTTTCCAGCTCCGGTGGCGGAACATTGCATGTATGGGTCCATAATTTGGTATAGTCCCCATATAACAGTACCTCCCGATATTCGGTATTTTGATTTATGCCACATTTTTTCACGGATTTGTCTTAAAATTGGTATTTGTAGGTCATAGCGGGTCCCTGAGCGTGTGGCAAAACATTGCATGTATAGGTCCACGTTGTGGTATAGCCCCCATATAAAGGTAACTCCCGATATTTAGTATTTTAGTTTTTTTACATTTTTTCACTGATTTGTCTAAAAATTGGTATTTGTGGGTCATAATGGGTTCCAGCTCCGGTGGCGAAACATTGTAATTATAGGTCCACGTTTTGGTATAGCCCCCATATAACGGTACCTCCCCATAATCGGCATTTTAATGGTTTTTGCCACATTTCTTCTAATGTTTCTTTTACCCTAAGGTGGAGGGTATTAAAAGTTTGGCCCGGCCGAACTTAATGTTTTTTTAATTGTTATGTACTTGTAACTTAAGGGTGCAAATACATAGGAAGCTTGAAATCATGGCTAGGCATAATTTGTGACATTTCATAAAGGGATTACAGAGCCGCACTAAAATCCTGCCGTCGTCTTCCATTATAATTAGACATTAATATCCCTAGCCATGACTTCAAGCTTTTTATGTACTTGTACCTTAATTTCTCTATGGACGTTCTGATATTAATTTAGGGAAACTAAAGGATAAAATACACATCATCAAGTTTTCATTTTTACATCTTTCCCCTAAAATAATTCTTTTTTTTTCGGAGACATAGTAATAAATAAATAGATTAATTAATTAATAAATAGATTAATAATTTCTAAATGTAACTGTTAGTCACTGCGCTTTTTTACAGTAGCATTACAGAATTCGTCCAATTTTGAAATTTCGAACGAAATTGAGAAGTTAATTTCATGAAATCATATGTTTACACTCTTCTTTAAATTATTCCTTTGACAACATCTTATTGTCAAAATGTATATTTATAAACCTATTGTATATATTTATTCAACCAGATATACCACGACCGGATTTATTTTAAGCCCGGTGTGGAATCTACATACTGACAGGCAATGCACAATTACTGAAGGTAGAACAAAGTTACCTCATAACCACAGTTTTTTCCTTTTGGTGCCCCCATTCTGTCAAAACATATACACTGTTTGTGTATGTGTGTGCGTATTGTTTTAAATAAACTAGAAAGAATTTTTAAATTATATCAAATTTAATTGCATAATTTCTACTTTAACATGTGAGAGATTGTACAATTTAAGGTGAGAGTACATAGACAGCTTAAAGTTTTCAAATGGCATGTTTTGTGACATATTATAAGAGGACGCCAGAGACGTACTCGAGTCCTGCCGTACTTATAACTTGACATTAATATAACTAGCCATGAAGAGGAGCTGCTTATGTACTCAAGTCTTTGGGGTAAAACAGTATTGTGCCCGTACCTTGGATCCATTTTTTTTTAAAAATCCTAATATTTCAGTCGTGTTTTTTATGCAGTGAAATTTGACAAGGTAAATTACAGAAAATGCAGAGCTGGGAATTCTTATTTGAAATGAGATTTTGTTTATTTCATTGCCTATTTGACACAATAAGATTCCAGTACAGAGTTGCATGTTTTCTAGTTTATTTGAGGTTAAGCAACCTTTATTTTTGAGCCATGCTAACATAGTACAATAATTTCCAAGGTAGGGCATATCATGGCACAATTACAGAAGGTGGAACGAAGCTACCCCTTAAAAACAATGTGTTTTTTTTTGGTGCCCTTATTCTTTCAAGACATAGAAACATTTTGTGTATGTGTGTGTATTGTTTTGAATAAAAAATACAATAATTTGAGATTATTCCAAATTCGGTTGCAAAATAAATGTATATTTCCTACGTTAATGGGCAACACATTGTATTTTGGGATAAAACGGTCTTGTCCTACTATTTTGCATTCAATCCTGTAGAATAATCCCAAAATTCTAGTCTAGTTACGCGGGGTTTTCACAATATAAGAATAACAAAGTCTATAAAAGTCTAGTTGACTCTATAAGACTCCGTATTCTCCTGAATACAGTTTTTCTTGTAGTAGTCTTGTAATGTTAAAACACATTTACCCGTTCTTATATCATTCCTTTACAGTCCACTTTTGTTATCCCTTACTTTAGGAAAAATAAAGGATAAAGTTCACATTATCGGGTTTTCATTATTACATCTTTCCGTTAAAATATATGATTTTTTTACAGATATATGGCAAGCTTTTCGTAAAAGCAACTGGTAGTCGCTGCATTCTTTTCACAATGCCTTCTTAATTTTACTTTAAAAACAAGTAAAAAAGCAGTATGTTCGACCGGGCCGAACTTTGAATACCCTCCACCATTTAGAACGAATTTGAAAATTTTCGCCAAAAATTCTGTTAACATTTTAAAAATACCGAATATAGCCGTTATATTAGGGCCTGTACGACGTGGACCTGTCACAGGCTGTAGCTTCAATTACTAACTTCAAATACGACATCTCAAACAATTTCGGTGAGCATTGTACCTAAAATCGTCAAAATACCGAATATAAGAAAGTACTGATATATGAGGCCTATACGAAGACGTGGACCTGCACAGATAATTTTCTGTCATAGGCTGTAGTATCCATTACGAATTTTTAATGCGAAATTTAAAACAATTCCGGTGAATAATGTCGCTAAAACCATCGAAATACAGAATATAGGGAGGTACTGATATGTGGGGGCAATACGAGGACGTGGACCTGCACAGTAATATTTCTGTCTCAGGCTGTACTATCCCTTTGCAACTTCAAATATCAAATTTAAATCAATTCCGGTGAATAATGTCGCTAAAGTCATCAAAATAGCGAATATAGGGGGTACTGATATATGGGGGCTATACAAAGACGTGGACCTGCACAGACAATTTTTTGTTTTAGGATGTAGTATCCATTACGAACTTCAACTACCAAATTTGAAACAATTCCAGTGAATAATGTCGCTAAAATCATCAAAATACCGAATATCGGGAGGTACCGTTATATGGGGGCTATACGAAGACGTGGACCTGCACAGTAATTTTTCTGTCTTGGGCTGTACTATCCTTTTGGAACCTCAAATATCAAATTTGAAACAATTCCGTTGAATAATGTTGCTAAAATCATCAAAATACCGAATATTGGGAGGTACCGTTATATGGGGGCTATACGAAGACGTGGACCTGCACTGACAATTTTCTGTCATAGGCTGTAGTATCCATTACGAACTTCAGATACCAAATTTTAAACTATTCCGGTTAATAATGGCGCTGAAATCATCAAAATGCCGAATATCGGGAAAATGTATTGATACATTTCAATGTTAGCGCGTCACAACAAAAATAAAGAAAATGATCAACTTAAAAACTAAAGGGAAACCTAATATTTGTCGTGCACAAAAAAAACAAAAAGAGAAAGAGAGTGAAGAGGACTGGCTGAATGAGGAATCAGATTATTAATTATTATTATAGGTCATTAATTTTAACTTATCGTCTTCAATACTCGTTTTTTAATTTTGGCGTCTTTTTCAGTAAGGTTTTACCAGTCCGATTACTGCTTACTTTTGGAATTTTAACATTTTATCGCATTTCTGCTAATTTTCTTATTTTTTGAGCACACCTAAATGAGAATGACATTTCGAACTGTTATCTCTTCTGCTAGTTTTACTACTAAAAATACTGGAACACAACTTTAATATGTTCCAAGTTTGTGTTCAACGCGGTCGTCGCC